GATCGACGCTCCTTCAGATGGCATCTTTAAGCCCATCTTCCGTCATTAATTTCCAAATGGCATCTGTAAGCCCATTCACGACATCACAAGACAAGTACCACTTCATGCGAGTGCAAATTTATGGGCACTCTAGTGTTCAATCATCTTCCACCTTCGGATCACGAAAGGCAAGCAAGCCAATCTACATCCTCAGGTTTAAGAAGATTGAACCGGGGCAGCTGTTGTACCCCAAAATTTGCCCTCCCATATTTCTCAAAACATTTCAAGAAAGATTCTTAAGTTGCTCAAGGAAGTCCAAGGATTGACCAGACAAGCTCTCTCCTAAGGCAGTCTACCCCAAATTAGGTTTAGGGTTTATTTTTTCTCATCAAAAATTAATTTAATTAGTTTATTTAATGTTAGGGTAATTTTAATTATTTTGTAAATAATTTAAAAACAATTAGAAAATTAGGGTTTTAGTTTAATTTAAATTCTATTTTTCTTTTTCTTAACAATAACCAAAAATACAAAAATAGGCCATGTAAATTATTTTCTTTAATTTAATTTAATTATTAATTATATTTGTATTTAATTTAAAAACCTTATTCTTTTTCTTAAAAAATAATAAAAAACAACAAAAATAATTTCTCTTTTGATTAGGTTAGACGGGGTCAAAACCCTAGTTCTCTCTCGTTCTCGATTCATCACGTTTATTTATTTTTACCATATTAATGTAAGTGTTCACAAGTTGTAATAGATTAATTATGATTTTTCTCCTTTTCATTTATCGTTTTGACGGGTTGTTTTTGGCTATGTAATTAATACCCGAAGCCTTATAATAGCGTAGCTTTACTTTCCGCACTTTAAATTCCGCAAAATATTAACTGTTAGATGTATGAATAATAGGGATGCATGACAAGAATGTATGTAAACTTTAAAACAGTTAGCAAACCCTAAATGCGCAAAGATAATAACTTGAAATTGAATCACTCGCACATGCGCACTCCTAGGGTACACTCCCACTTCGGTTGCCTTTGGTAAACGGTTATTAAGTATAGGATATTTTAGTGGTCGCTCTCTTGTCTAAACAAAGATCAAAGTCCCGTTCGGAAAAGTTGCCTCGGAAAGGTTGCCTCGGATATGATGCCTCGAATATTGATCTTAAGACATTAGGGTTATTATTAAGACGTCCTAACATTGCTTTAGTAATCGTATGTCCCTTTTGAATTGACCCTTAAAACTCCAACGACGGTGCTACCTACTCACTAATAGTGGGATAACACTGTCTAAAGGAAACAAGAATAGAAACATTCTCTTTTTCGAGTAGGTAGATTAGTTCTTAAGTACTTGCTCAAACGAACAAACTTTTTCACACTTACACTCCTTTCAAACAAAGTTTTCAAAACGACTTCGTAACACTCTTGAAGACAGAAGCAAGAGTTAAATCGAAGTAAAACAAAAACTTTCCAAATCACAAACACAGAAGCAAATTTTGAAAATGATGAGCAAGTACCTATGAGCCCGTAGAAAACTACAGATAGAAAGGGTGCTAATACCTTCCCTTTCTATAATCTACCCCCCGTACTCAAAATCTCGAAAAAAGGAATTTTTCTGTGCTTTTTTCCTTTCCAGTTGGATAAAATAAAAGTCGGTGGCGACTCTTGCTTACTGCGACATTTTGCAAACACAAACGAAAAATGTAAACCAGCATTTCAAAACAGTCCGGTTCTGGCCACCGTATCACAGAACTGGCTACTCTGTTAGGGAGTTAATAAGTGGGGTATACCTTATGATCAGTTCATTATCATTAATTCTATTGTTTGATTTATTTGCTTTACCTTTGAGGTCTTTGTATCGGGAGTTACTATAGATCCTAACCCGGATCTGGGGAATACCTTTTAGGTAAGTAGCAACAAAACTGTGAGGGAACTGTACGGCGTAGACCGATACGGTTGAAGCAGTAGCTACGTTGATGTGGCACATTTGTTGGTACTGGTATCCCTTGTGGAGAAACAAGGAGAATACGGGGCTACTATATGGGTCGTTAAGCATCAACTGACCTTAGAACCTATAATTGACCAACTTGGCCATAGGAAGTAGTGAGATAGCCGGTCTCGGTGTAAAGTTGAGAACTGGTTGATACTCGATGCTACACTCATTGAGACCATACTCTCAAGATAGTTCCGGCCACAAGAAAAGATTGCGTGAGCTGAAACCATGACCTATGGAGGATGGTCAGTGATATTGAGAACCTCTAGAACCCGGTTACTATTATTAGGACAGGTTGAAACCAACTGAACTTCAAGAGGGTAGTACCTAGACGCCATGCAAGCCTGAAACTTAAGGGCTATTATGTGACTTATTTTCCTTTACCATGTATGCTATCTGCTATACCTGTTGTGTGTTTTATCATGACATCATGCATCATAACATAACATGCATATTTCATTAGACTAACCATTTCAAAGACCGAAGGGATTTATCTTTGTTCTGTTTTGCAGATTATGGCTTCCATGCGCAGAAACACCAACCGAGTTAACTTTGTGAAAATACCTGATCAACTCAAAGATTTAGCCTTAAGAGTTTCTGATGCTTCTTCATTCATTAGAAGACATGGTCAGCTTCTTAGCTTGGTTACCTCAAGGTTTGATGAGCAAATGATGAGTATGCTTTTCCAGTTCTTCGATCCAGTGCATCATTGTTTCTCCTTCCCAGATTATCAGCTAGTTCCCACTTTGGAAGAGTTTTCTCACTTATTGGGCATATCCATCCTCGAGCAGATGCCCTTCACAGGTTTGGAAGAGACTCCTAGGCTAGAAGACATTGCTTCAGCTTTACACTTGAAAAAGGCTGATGTAGTATCTAATTGGGAGACACGAAGCGAGGTTAAAAGTTTCTTAGCCAAGTTTCTAATGGATCAAGCTCAACTATTCTGGGATAGTTTGGACTTTCAGGCTTTTGAAGACATCTTGGTGTTGCACCCCAAAATTTGCCCTCTTAGTTGCACTTTTATGGTTTAGACTTTTTGCATTCATCCGCATCATTCCAATGGGTCATGGGCATAGCACACATTTTTCATAAAATAGATCGCCTGAGGTTCAAAAGATCAGCAGTTAGGGATCTAGGGTTTACAGCCGATTTGAGGTGTATGTGTTGAATAAGTTTGATTGTCCAGGATCTTCTCGGTGTACAAGGTCTTGGAATTAGGGTTTTGTTCCAATGTTTAGCTTGAATTTCTTCTCCATCAAGCTACAAGGCTATTATCTTCTGCTGAACAATAGGTTGCAGGGTATTCCTGTCAATAACGTAAGGTTGTGATCTCGCGTACATGATTCAAAACACCTCATTCTATCATTGCGCTTATCATTTGGTCAAGGTTTTGTCAATACTAGAGGTGTATTAAGATTTCTCTAAAGGATCAAGATCTGTTATCAATCCAGGATGCATATGATGCTTGCATTACAGGTTGTTGACTATGTCATTGTTGCATTAAGTTCATCTATCCTTAAGTTAATCAATTAGGATTGGGTACGTCATGATTCAAGATATTTTGTATGGTAAATTTGGTTGCTTGACGGTCAAGGCATTACGAATAATTGGTACAAGCTATTATTTGGATATTTATGCAAGAACTTTGGTTTCAAACATGGATTAAGGTTCAACTTGATAAAAAAAGAAATAGCGTGCCCGAAGGTTTATTTCATAAATTCTTGCGGAGGAAGATGGCACATGAATATAAGTTGAGATTAAAGTACATGGTATCAAGTAAATCTCTTCATGATTCAAGTTGTTATTTTCAAGATTATCCCACATCATTGTTCATCCCAAGGTAAAAGATAAAAAGATTCATTTAAATAACATTCGAGTGTTTATCATGTTTGTCTCAAGTTCATTCAAGTATCCATTCAAGCTCAAACTGAATGAGAGAAATGTTTTGAATAATTGGAAATTTGTCATGCAAGAAGTTATAAAGTTTTGTTCATTACAAATTCAAGTCATTACACCGAAGTTACAAAAGACATCTCAGTCATCAAAGTTTCAAATTCCAAGTACAAATCATCATCATTTTTTACAAATATCCATCATCATTCAAGGTTAAAAGTCAAGGGTCTCCATTCATGCGAGTTTGAGGTGCGAGGTGTTTAGAATTGGAAGTTCAAACATCGAAATTTGAGTTTTAAGATCCAAAGCATGGTGTGCAAGTTTGTTTGAACCAAAGCTCTTATAGGAATATGGCATACAAGGGAAATTTTGATTCAAGTTCTTGTGAAACACATAAGACACTCATCATGGAGTACCATGGATTAAATTTGAGGTCGGATGGGTAGAATTCCTTAATTTGACTAAAAAAGTGATCAAGGCCTCCATTTACCAAAAGCTAAGAAACTTAAAGAATGTTTATAAATGGCATAATTCAAGAGGATCCATCTTGCAAAAAGCTCATAAATAATAGACATGGAATTTTGAATTGTAGCAAGTTTCAGCATATTCAAGTTCTACCAGTTACATCTCATTCAAGCCTCTGCTTTGACTACATAATTCTCAAAATATACAAAAGGCTACAAATTTACAAAAGAAATCAAATTTCTATTACAAGTCGGAACTATTCCCATCCATGGTCATTCAAATTATTCAAATTACTCAAGTTCAATCATTCGAGCGTCTTTCATTCACTCATGTTACAGTACATGCCATTTCAAGATTAAAAAACAAAGTTACAAAGGTCCAAATAAACTTTTACAAAAAAAAGAGGAAAACACAGATTCTCGTGATCTTCAACCTCGAACCGAATCCAGAGAACCATCCTTCATTTCTTGGTTGAAATCGTAACACCGTTTCCGATCATAGCCTCGATCAGATTCAGCTTTTGTTCCCCGTCAATTTCCCATGTTCATGCAGCGCGTCCCAGTAATTCCAACTCACTCACTTTTCTCATAACGGTTCTCCTGTTCTTCATGATACTAAACTCCCACCAGATGTCACCAAATTTTCTTCTCTGGCTAGTGCTTGGTGTTTTTTTGATGGCTACAATGCTACGGATGTATGCAACATGTCAACAGCTTCAAGCCCAGGCCCAAGCTCATGCAGCAACAGCCAGTGGTCTTCTTGGCCATACAGAATTACAGTTGCATATGCCTCCATCGATAGCACTTGCAAGCCAAGGGAGTCTGCAGGGTCTCAGACTTCAGCTGACCCTTCTTGATCGGGAGTTTGATGATCTAGATTATGAAACTTTAAGAGCTCTGGATTCGGATAATGTTTCTACTGCACCTTCTATGACTAAAGAAGAGATAAACGCTCTTCCAGTTCACAAACACAAGGTTTCTGTTCTCCAAAAAAGTAGTTCTTCAATGCCATAAGCACCGCCACCATCTTCTATTGAGAAAACACATGATAATTCAAATGCGGTTGGAAACACAAAAGCCTCAGATGATGAGCTCACCTACAGTGTATGCTTGGAGCAGGTTAATGTTGGAGATGTACTTCGTAGCTTGCCCCGCCTGCATCAGTTTCATGCTAATTGCATTGATCCTTGGTTGCGGCAACAAGGAACGTGCCCTGTTTGCAAATTCCGAGCAGGATCTGGGTGGAATGACGGTGGGCATGATGATATCACAGACATGGTATGAATACCTGTCTAATTTTGAGTTTGTGTTCATAATATACTGTAACTATATCCTAACCACCTAACAACTCTCTAAACAGCCCTGCAATAAAACAATGTACTAATCTAATAGAATTCCCAACAGTGATAACAGAATAACTAACTGAATAACAAACTAACTCTAGATAACCAAATAACTTTCTAACTATTTTGATCCACCCTGAATAATCAATACAACTGATATAAGAGAAAGAGGGATAGAGGATTATGAAAAAAAAAATTTTCATCAATTCACACAGAGAGATGCATTTTTTATTTTTGTTCAGAGGAAGACTACAAAAGAAACTTACCAATTCATATTGATTCAGGAATTTCAAGAAGAATCTCCATAAACCTCTTCCTTCTTCCCTCCCCTTCATCTTCATCTTCTCTCTTCACTCTGCATTTTTTTAGAATCCAGCCTTCATTCTTCAATTTCATCATCTTTCATCATCTCTGAAACAACAACACACACATGCCATAACTTCATCAATCTGCAATTGAACCTTCAAGCTCCTGCAATCTTCATCGTATCTTCAAAACTTCTTCACGCTACTACAACAGAATAACAACAACTCAAGAACACACACAGAAACTCCAAGAATCGAAATAAAAAAGGAAAGAGCGAGGAAGAAAGGGAATAAACATGTACCTTAAGTGAATTGATCAAATTCGACTTCAACGCTGCACCACAAATCTAAAGTCTTCAATCAGGTTCAGTTCGCGTTTGTTCTTGATTCAATCATATACACGTCGTCTTCTCTGAATTACAAGCATGCCTTTGAAGTGTAAATCTGTGAGCTTCGTTGTACTGAAGATTCGACACCCATCATTCGATCCATTCTTCCGCACCTGCTTCATGAGAGATTCGCGGTAGGTATAGGTTTGGGAAGCAACTTCCGATAGCTTTAATGTTGAGATCTTTGAGTGTCATCAAGCATTGACAATTTCGTTCAAATCATGTGAAGAGAGTTGAATCCATGGTTAATTTGAAGGAAAGTTGAGTTTGTTAACGGTGACGGGATAGAAGAAGGTGAGTTGAGTATGTGAGCGTGGGTAGATCAGAAGAACGTTGAAGCAAGACGAAGGCGCTGATTTGTGAGGCGGCCACTCTGCGTGATTTCGATCGGAGAAGAAGAACAGTGAGCAGCGCCGCAAAGAAGAAGGGAGAAGAAGCTACAGTCGTCCCAATTTTCTAACCCTAATCCCTTTCAGATTTACATCGTATATTTTATTTTTTCTTTCTTTATTTATTTATTCATATATCTTTGTTTATTTTAATTCAAATTAAATAAAGGTCAACCTCATAATTGTGATAATAATAAAATCTGGGCCGAAAATGATCTTGTTGAGCCCATAGTTTCACTTTTTGGTATTGTAGAATGGTATAAAAAAATAGTTTTTTTTTGAACTTTTAATGGGCCTAGTGTTCTGAGTTCCTTTACTACACTCCCCAATTCAACTCAACACCACCCTGACTTTTCTAATCCCATTAAGATTCTAGTTTTTTCTTCTAGTTTAATTTTTTTTTCTTTCTTAGTTGATAATAAAAATGATACAAAAATAGTAGTATATTTTGGGAAATATTTTTAGATTCTCTTTAGAATTTTATTATGATTTTTTTTTCACGTTTAACAATCATTTTCATTGTCATTTTAGTTAAGATTGCGTGATAGTAATAATGCAACTTTTATGATGGAAAATGCTTGGAGGTTAAGTATTTGATCACTCGCACATGGCAATTTCTGTAGAGTTTTCTTATCTTTTGCGTGGCTTTAAAGAGGCAACGGACCTCCTCCGTTTGGTATCGTCACAACTCTATTTTTGTTCTTCATTTCCATACTTTACCGCCATCCATATGCATGCTAACATCAGGTAGAATTCCTTTGAAATATATAACTTTAGGTCTAACAACGCCTGATAACTTTAGGTTTAGAAATAGGCTAGTATCCCCTTGACTTTTCTTTCCACTTTTTTGCATATGCATTTAAAACAAAAACTTCTTATTTTTCCTCACAAACTTCAAAAATACATAAAAATTTACTGACGAGAATCATATCTTCGTTAAGTATGTGAGACGATAAGCGGGTCTCTTCTCGACCTTATTGTTCTCTTATTCTAAGCTTTGGTGTGGTTCAAGTCTCAAAGACTTATTTCACAAATAAGTAGAGAAATGGATAAAATCTCTCTCTTGAGATTAACTAGCTATTATCTACAAGCAAAAATATCAACCAACACAAAATTCTTTTTGCCTTCGGGCCTTCCTTGCAAAATTCTTTTCAGAAAGAGCATATTAATTCACTTCTGTGCTGACGCGTAAGTCTCCAAAGGTCGAGTTGCGGCAGAAGGCGAAATTAATACTGTTCATTACAAAAAACAAACAAATCCAAACTTTTTGTGCGCCCAGGCACATTTTCTCAAAATCTTTTTCAAAAGAGCATGTTAATTCACTTCTGTGCTGACGCGTAAATCTCCAAAGGTCGAGTTGCGGCAGAAGGCGAAATTAATACTGTTCAGTAAAAAATACAAACAAACAAAAACATATAAGCCGAACTACGACTGCTCTGATTCCTCAAAAAAGGATACGTAGGCATCGGGGTAGGGCCCGAACGAGCACAATTTTATTTTCCCTACATTCTTTTCTCCTTTCTTTTGCATGCATTCCCTTCAGTAGTATAGTAAACAGTAAGCATAGATTGAACACACCCATAAGATAGATAACAAGAGTGGATACCGTAGAGTACTACGGGCGTGTGGGGTGCTAATACCTTCCCCTCGCGTAACAGACTCCCTTACCCGATCTCTCAGTCGCAAGACCGTGACTTCTCCCTTCTCAGGTTTTCTCGATGTTTACCTTTCCCTACATGTGGGATAAAAGACGTTCGATGGCGACTTCATTGTTTTGATGATTTTCAGCCGGTTGTTTCAGCTGGCGACTTCACTGGGGAGATAGGTCGACCAAATGCTGGTCCATCCCGGAGTCGATCCTAGCTCTTGTTTTCTTTTCTTTGGGTGTTTATTTTTATGCTTTCAGTTTACTCATTTGTACATGTTTGTCTGAGCATAAGTCTGCATTGCATTTTATTGCTTTCCCTATTTGTTATCTATTATGCTGGACTTTGTTTTCCATGTTGGGTGGGGATGTCACTATTGAGGTAAAAGGCCCAGTACCCAGGCCAGAGTGCACTAGGACACTAGGAATAGAGTGGGGGCATGACGGCTATAGAACGTGGTCCGATTAGTGCAGTCATGTCATATACCACGCTCGGATGAGGTTCAAACAAATTACTATCGGCACCCACGTCTGTGGGTAAGCCCATAGCACTTTCAGGAGGGCCCGTGATTTTCGAGTTACCATTGTCTTACCCTGACCTAGTCTTCACCCGTGAGCGGGGAGGGAATTTTATCACAGGTACAGTTGGTGACTATGTCCAAATGGTTACTCATGCTTAGATGGAGACCGTGATCAGACAGTGATTATTGGTTCTAATGATTATGTTCTGGATTTCTGTCAATGACTTATGCATATAGTGTTCTGTTGGTGACCATATGGTTCTCAGATTTATTTTCTGAGTTCCTGACTTGCTTACTTGGAAGTTCATTCAAGCCTTTGATCTTGGCATTCCCAGCATATTCAGAAATGCTCAACAGTATCTGATGTTCCTGAAGCCTTGACCCCGTACAATGAATGATCTACATAGTACTTGGTTCTTATATGCGGAAGCCACGCCAGACCTCTAATCTGATAATACTCATATGGTTCAGAACAGTGCAGCAATCATACCCAGAAATGATGGAACCTTGATCCCATTTGATCTCATATCTGTGCATACATAACATGGTTAACCACATACTTAACATACATGTTCTGTGATTTCCAAGGAATCGTATTTGTAAGCCTTGTGCCAAACTTTTCCATCTTTTACTTACGTAAAATCAAAATCAAAGCACGTAAATTCCTTGGGAATGAAGGGACATAACATGGCATCTATTCATGCACTCCATGCATATTCATGCATCCATAACAGGTACTCAAAGATTGGGGATTCTTATTCAGACATGGTTCTCCTCAGAGGTTTAGCTTTGATTTCTTACTGCACTTGTTCAGGGATCGGTTATGGAATAACTCTGAGTGATATACATGCAGGCTTTGGCCCGTAGTCAAAAATATCTTCAAGCAGGAAGATAATTGATTAAAGATTCAGATGAACCAGGTCATGGAAGCTCTAATGACGATGTCAACAATCTTGAACCTACTGTCACAATAAAGGTTCTCTCTTCTCCTCATCTTTTGGGAGTTGCTTCCAACCATGGAGTGCTACGCAATCCTGAGTTCTTGGAACATCTTATCAGCATATGCTTCCCATTTTACCATAGGATCTTATATCAATGCTTCGTTCTTATTGACCAAAATCAGATATGGTTGCCACACCGGGGCATCAGACTTTTTAATCAGGGGCATCCTCCATAACTTTGTGTTCTCTAAATTGTTCAACAACAACCATTCTTTATTCCCCAAGTGAATTCATGGGGAAAGCTTTTAAGCCAAGACACAAGAACCCTGATGGGCATGCTAATGCGAGCCTAATGCATTACATCCTATTATTCCCAGTTCTTCCCAGCTCTGATCTTTGAGGACTTCCTCCCACAAACGTCTCTTCTGATTACGATATGTATGCTAGATGCATCTCCTATTCTGGGGTACCCGGTTTTGATATTGAAGACTATAAAGGGGTTATAAAAGCCCAACACCTGTTTGGCGTCTCTTCCAAACTCTCTTTCACCAGGTGGATGTCTCTTTTGTTTTGATAGAAGACAGACTATATTAGTTTTTTGTGGCGTAGTATGCCTGATGATGCAGTTTTCACTTGAAAAAGAATTCAGTTGTTCTCCTGAAAGAATCTTCTACGCGTATTTTTCTTGGGCAATTGATCATTCGATTAAAGATGGTACACTATCTAGAGACAAGGTCCAAGACGAGATCAA